CGTTGGTCATTGTACCACATGATAATTGTGTGCTTGCTTGGGTGGCTCTGCAAGCACTATATAAGCACAGGGTGTTTTTGGCACAATGAGGTGCTAATGTTATTAAAAGGAAAGCAGCTAGATTTTTGATAGAAAATAACAAACACACGTCATCCTACAGAGCCTTTTCAGGCTCTGTAGGATGTGTAGAAATATGGTTGCTACTTTGCCAATTCTTCTCTCTTGCCATATGCTGACGCCTCAAGCGCCCAGAACAAAGGTAGCTCTCCAGTGAGTGAGGTGAGTTGCAGAAAGATGTACTTTTGCTAGACTTGATTTCACCGGGGTCAAAGCAGTACCACCGATTAGACACATGTGGCCAGTGGTTTCAAAAGAGTTGTGCAGCCTTGGATTGCGTGAAAAGGAAAGTGAGGTCGAAAAAAAAGCGCAAGGAATCGTTATTACCTCAAGACTAGCGTCCTGGGCAAAGTGGCACAATAAATCCAAGCAATTACGCGCTTGTTGTTTAGTGGCAGAATAGCAGCCTTCCAATCCCTAACTGCGTCTTCTCGAGACGCAGTTTGCCTGAGAAAGCTGTTGGCCCGGGTTCGATTCCCGGCGGGCGCATGAGTTCTCTTTTTGTCTTCTTTTTTTGGAACGCGGCGAAAACAGTGATCAGGCGACACGAGATCTGATTGCCACAGACAACGCGCGAGTGGTGTGTGAACGCGTTTTTGCGGCTCAAGTAGAGAACGGCTGTATGAGCCACGCCTTTCTCTCATTCAAGCTCTTCCCAGCTTTGTCAACTACACGCATTTTACCAACTTTGCAGCTGTCTCGAATGACTACACAATCCATTCAGCTGGCTACGAAGAAGAAGCGACCAGCTTCGCTTATGAATTTTTTTGGGCGCCAAGGGTCGAAGGAGGGTTGGTATCACGCTTAAATTCGCATTTGCAACAAAAGACCAGCGTACCATCTTTAGCAGCGTAGCGTTTGCCTGTGGGCTATCCACTAATGGCATGTCCTAGGTTTATTCGTGTATTTTTTCTGTAGACATTACTGCGGAGGAAGTCCACGTTATCGACGGCGACGGCGACGGCGACAGCGAGGCTCCGAGCAGTGCTCAAAGGCCCACAAAGGAGATCCACTCTGGCCCAGACAGCTGCATCAATGTCGATGCTAGCCGCGAAGCCAGTACCGCAAAGACCTTGCATTCAGGGTCCTTACCGGTTGCGTTCAAGAATGGCAAGGTGTCCCTCTCAGAGAAGAGGCTGGGCCTTGAGAGGCATCCGGCTGTCGTGGC